GTTTGCTGAGCGTGGCCGGTGTTCGGAGCGCGAGTTGCTGCGCGACAAGTCTTTGGCATGATGTGGCAGTGCGCTGGGTGCTGCATGCATGGTGTTGTAGGTGACATCTGGGAGCTGATCGTTGAGTCCGAGCATGGTGTCGATGGCGCTTGCGTGATGCTGGCTCCCTGCTGTGTCTTGAAGGCGGTCAACCAGCCTGGGTTGGTTCAGCCGGTCCTTGGCCAAGTTGCGATAGAAGATGGCCTTGACCTCCTTCTCCGAATACCACCTGAGCATGTGTACGCGTGGTTGTGTAAGTGTGCATGCGTAAGTGTGGGCGCGTGTTTTGTGTGTGTGTGTGTGGTGGGTGTGTGTGTGTGTGTGTGTGTGTGTGTGTGTGTGTGTGTGTGTGTGTGTGTGTGTGTGTGTGTGTGTGTGTGTGTGGGTGGGTGTGTGTGTGTGTGTGGGTGGGTGTGGGTATGCGCAAATGCGTGTGTGAGAGTGTGAGAGTGTGAGAGTGTGAGAGTGTGAGAGTGTGAGTACGAGAGTGTGTGTGTACATGCTCGTGAGCACGATAGACCGCTCAAAACAACTATCACCACACACCCACACACCCACACACACACCCACACACACACACACACATTTACAGACGCACGGAAGCAGACGAACGTGCCTACATCCACTCGGGAATGGCTTTGGACTCACGGTGCGTGTTGTCGAACCAGCGCTTGGAGCATGTGTTCCGCGTAGACAATCTTGCTGGACGACTCTGTCCTGCCGGCGGCTGGTGCCGGCTTCTTGCGATGAGGAACAGCGAAGCTCATTGTTTTTCTCCTTGCTTTGTTGCTTACTGTGGCTGACCCCCGCAACGACAACAAGCAACAACAAAAAGCCTTGTAGCTGGTTGGCTGTAATGGGTGGAGATCGGAAGAATGCACTGGCGCAGCTGCAGCAAGCGAGAGGTTGTTGGTGGTGGTGGGAGGACAATCAGATATCGAGTGAGTGCATAGCCGTTGGCGAGCCAAGTCAACGGTTGTCGGGCACGTTCGTCACGCTTGGTATTCATTCGCTGCACCGTTGCCTGCACGCAACTGCTGGCAACGACAGGACAATTTTTTGTGAAGTCGTTTAATTTATGCTGAGGAGCGCATGGAAGTTGCATCCACACACAACACACACACACAACACACACACACACAACACACACACACACAACATACACACACAACATACACTACATGCTATCGCTTGCTGGTGCTTCTGCGCAGCGGATGCTGCTGCACCAAGAACGAGGACGAGGACGAGGATGAGGATGATGCTGCAGAAGCGATGCGTGGTGGTGCCCCCCGCAATCCACCGCGTGCACCGCTGCCCCTGCCGCCGCTGCCGCGCCGAGTAGAGCGTGTCCCGCGGCCTCGCCGGTGCTGCTTGTGCAGGATGCTGCGCGCCAGCGCGGATGGGCCCTGAGACGCAGACAGCTGCTCCCGACGCTGCACGATGGCCTCCATCATCGCATCTCCACGCGCAGCACCCGTGCCGATGTCAGCATTGCCATCGCCATCACCTTCATCATCATCATCAGCTTCATCATCGTCGTCGTCGTCGCCATCATTGTCAGGCACAAACGACACGGATCGAGCGACCGCAGCATCACGCATCAGCAAGCCACCAACACCACCTCCCCCATCATCATCATCATCATCATCGTCATCATCATCACGGCCTGCAGCAGAAGTGGAGGCGGCTTCCGCGCCGCCATTACCGCCCTCTGTCTTCTCATCCGTGCTCCCTTTGCCGCCCTTGCCACCTTTCCGGCGATGGCTGTCGGTAGCGTCGTCGCCACCGTCGTCGTCGTCGTCGTCGTCATCGGGCTCCCACGGCTCCACGGGTGCATTGAGGCGTGCAGGAGGCACAAGGTCGGCAATGGACGCCCCCGTCGTGATGGCGTCTGTATCCAGCATCCACAGGTAGTCCAGCCCTTGCACGCTCAAAGGGGCATCAAGAAGCAAGCCGGGGTCGCGTTGGAACTGCGATGCCTCCTGCGTGTGCACAACCACGTCTTCGCCATCATAACGTAAACTGGTGTCCATGGCATACAAGCTGCTGTTCATCTGTGATGCCGATGGTTGCGTAAACTGAGACAGTGTCTGTGACAGCAAGTCGCCCCCGCCAAAGTCGCCACTAAACGACTGTGATAACGCCTGGCTCAGTGGATCCTGCATCCTGCCCTCTTCCTCTTCTTCCTCTTCTTCCTCCTCCTCTTCTTCCTCCTCCTCTTCTTCTTTCTCTTCGTCGTCGTCCTCTTCGCTGTCAGCGGCGAGCCCGGCCATCCCGTCCTCATCGTCGTCCTCTGCGTCCACGTCAGCACCGTGTGCGCCTGACGCTGGCTGCTCTGCCATGTCTGCTGTCACCGAAACCGCACCGCTCCCGTCCCCTTCGGTGCTGTCACCTTCACCCTCACCACCCCCACCATCATTCTCATCGCCACCACCAACATCGCCCTTCTTCTCACTGCCAACAGCCTTGCCCTGCGCTCGGCGCTTCTCAAGTTTTCGGCGATACCACTCCCGCATGTTCCGCAGGGCCTTCTCCTTCCGGCGGTACACAGAGTAGTCGAGCGAGGGCTCAAACTTGACAATGCACGACGGGCTGTGCCGGTGGTACACAAGCACTGTGGGCAGCGCAATGCCCGCAGAATGGTCCTGTTGTGCACGTGCGCAAAGTAAAGGAACAACAGAGAGAGAGAGGGGGGGGGCCGGAAGGTGTTGTAAGCGGGTGAAGGACAAACGAAATGTGATAGTGTGTGTGTGTATGCGAGTGCAGGTGAAAGCGTGTCTGTGTGCATGTGTATGCGAGTGCAGGTGAAAGCGTGTCTGTCTTACGAAGATGGTAATCTCGAGGTCTTCGCCCACGCTGTTGAGACGCTCCTGTGAACGAAGAGTATGAGCAGTGCGAGTCAGCAGTGTGTACATGAACAACATCACTTCTCCACAAAAACGTACATCAACCGCAAAGAGGAAGAAGAAGAAGAAGACGAAGCAGGGGGAGGTGGGGGGGGGTTGGTTGGAAGGAGGACAGTTACACCCCGCACAAATATACGCCCCGCACACACACAGACACGCACACACACACACACACACACACACACACACACACACACACACACACACACACACACACACACGCATACATACGCACACACACACACACAGTACTTGGTCGAAGTTTGCTGTGGCCTCTTCAAGCGTGTAGACGACGCGCTTCTTCGGCAGATAAATGTGCCGAGCCACCTCTTCCGGCATAGGAAAGCGGTTGGATCCGAGACGTTTCTGGCACACGCACGTACGTATGTGTGTGTGTGTTATCATGCAGGGGCACAGTGGTGTGAGTGGGGATACGCCTGAAGCAGATGGCGCTTCGCTCATCACACACACACACACACACACACCTCTAAACACGCAAGAACACACTCACAACACGCAAGAACACACTCACAACATTGAATACACATGCACCTGTTCCTCGCTTATACACTTGAGAAGGTGCTTCTCAACATGGCGACGCTGGCCGCGAATCCAATACTTGCATACTCTGGAAGGCGCACAACCATGGCGAGCAAAGTGAGCAAAGCAGGCAACGAGACCAACAAAAGAAGGTCAAAGGGCCAATGATTGCCAGTGATTGCTCATCACTACAACACGTGCGCACACATACACACAGCCTGACAGACTTGTACACACACACATGCACACATACACACAGCCTGACAGACTTGTACACACACACATACACACACATACGTACATACATACATACATACATACATACATACATACATACATACATACATACATACATACATACATACATACATACATACATACACACACACAATACATACACACATACATACATACACACATACATACTGTGCAAGCCAGGCGAGGCAGGTGTGGCCCTTGATGCCAGTCCGGTATGCGGGCTTCCAGCCAAGACAAGTGTGCATGCGCTCAATCACGCCAATGTGCAACGCCCACTGCCACGCCCACACCATCCACGCTCCAGAATGGGACTTGACTGTCTTGCACGCGAGAAAGCGGCCCACGACGTTAAGCCTGTGGGAGAGCAGCTTGACGCTTTCCTCCCACAGCTCACGCGGCTTGAGCCCCGGCCCAAAGACGCCCTCGCCATCAAGATACGCGATGCGCCTGTGCTCCACGCCCGGCCGCGCGTCCCTAAAGCGGTCCGTGAACATGCTGCCGCTGCCAGTCTGCACGAGCACGGCGAGCGTGGCGTCCTCGAGTCGCCAGCCCGTAAACCCGAGAAGCGGCGCCTCCGCCTCCAATTTCGCCTGCCAGGTCATCGAGTTGATGTGTGGGAACACCGCGTGCACGAGCGGGCATGGCTGGCCAACGGCCCGCATGCCCCACGGGTCCACCAGGCGCGTGAGCGTGTTCCTGTGCACCGTTTCCGCGGGCACGGCGCCCGTCTCAAACCGCTGTGTCAGGATGCGACGTGTCTCGGGCTCCATGAACAGGACATCAAATCCGGCGCTCTCGCGGCCCCGTGCGCCTGGCACGACTTGCATCATGGTGATGCGGGACGCGCAGTCGTGCGCAATGGTCAGGGCAGGCGCCGCCCCGTTGCGAATGTCGATGGCGTGCATGTGCGATTGCGTCACGCCCACGGTCAGATGATCCATGCCTGTGCTCTCAAGCGACGCGGCACACGTGAACCCGGAGACGGGCTGGTAGTTGTTGCGGCGAATCTCGGCCACGGTGTGGTGCCACGCGTCGTACGACGTGATCTGCGTCATCTCCCGCATGCGAAAGTCGCACGCGTGCACGCCACCCGGCGACCAGAGCAGCTGCACGTGCGGCTGCTGTGAGGGTAGCAGGTCTGCAAAGGACCACATGTCCACCGTGTCTGGAACGCGGACGCTCCCGCGCGTGCGCGCACTGCCAGCAGACACGTCAATGAGCGAGACGCGCTTGTTGGTGGCAATCACAACCTGGCCCGCCCCACAGTCGCTCATGGCAGCAGCGTGCAGCCGTGCAGGTGTTGTCAGCCGAATTAGCGGCTCAGTCATCTTCGAGTTGAACCGGTACTGTCGTGCGTGTGTGTGTATGTGTGTGTATGTGTGTGTGTGCGTACATATGTGTGTGCGTGTGAGAGAGTGTGTGTGTGCATATGTGTGTGTGCGTGTGAGTGCGTGTGAGTGAAAGAATGTGTGTATGAGAGAGAGAGAGAATGTGTGTGTGTGTGTGTGTGTGAGAGTATGTGTGTGCGTGTGTGTGTGAGAGTACGTGCGTGCGTGTGTGTGAGTGTGCATATGTGGGCGGGCGTTGATGTTCGTGTGCGTGTAGTGATGTAGATGAAGGATCGTGAAGGAGCAAAACTGTGCGCTGTGGTCTGAGCGAGTTGGTGCGCATTGCCAGCAGCGGCGGTGATGGTGAAGATGCAAAAGGGAGCACTCGTGTTGCCCCCCCCCCCAACACACACATGATTGAAGATACGATCCAAGACACAAGCCCAGCACCGCGCAAAACACACAACAGAGGCGACTATTGGTCGAGCACTTACGTCGTATTGGTACCACAGTTGCCAGTCGGTGAAAGTTGGGTCGAAACGATACAACTCGTAGGATACTGGGCGGCGCACAAGCGTGAGTGCCTGCTCAGGTGTGTACTGTTTGATGGTGATCTGCAGCAAGACAGCGTCGCAGAACATACGCACGCACACAGGTGCAAGAACAAGTGAGTTGAGAGCACATAAAGGTCGCGTGCAACGTCAGTGAGTCGTTGGTCCAAACGCACGAGCAACGTGGAGACAAATGTGGTTAAAGAGAAAGAACGGGATAACACGCAATACCAGCAGGGAAGCAATGACACGAGCCAGTGGCAAGGTAGGGGTGAGGGATGAGATAGTGCACGCAACTTCCTGCAGACGCGTGTTGTGTTACATAATACCACTGCAGTGCCAGACAATGCCACGCACCTCTTGAACACGCCTGCCCGCGTCAAACTTGACCATCCGATCGGGTCTCACAGCAAAGCCGAGTGGGCAGCTGGCGACGCAGCGGACGCACACCTTGTTTTCACAGATGCCGTTTGTGCAGAACACTGCCGCTACGCCGTGCTTGGACGGGTGCGGCATGTGTGCCAACGCATTGCGCTGGTCATCGGACACACGCACCAACAGGGCTCAGTCAGCAACACACAACAACAAACGCAACGTTCACACAAGTGGCTGCGAATGCGTGGCCTTGGCGCCAACAACAACGAACATAACCGCACTCGCTTGCCATTGACGGGCGGATGCAACACAAACCAGCAGCATCACGCTTGAGTGAAAGCGCCATTCATCGCATACACCTACCGGCGGGCAGTGCGGGTCTTTGTACTCGAGGCTCTCCCTGATGTAGGGCAGCGTATCCTCGCGTCCGAGCTTGTCGATCTTGTGCTCTCGCCAATACCACTGCAACATGCCAGCCGACACACGCAGAGACACAGAGAGACACAGAGAGACACAGAAACACACAGAGACAGAGAGTGACACAGAGAACCGCATGCGTGAGGATGGCAATGTGTCGTGACGAGCACAGGCAGCATAGTCGATACGATGAGCACATCACCATGTGCTACTCCGTCCGTTCGCACATGAGGTTGGGTACGTACCCGTGCATCATCGTCTGCCCGACCACGCCAGTAGAGGGCCTGTGCATCTTTCTCCTCTTTGTCCATCTCACAGGCAACAAAGGCTTTCGTGTGCTCTGGCCCAAAGGTTGCATCGCAACGTGCATGTCGGTAGAGGAGGGTGGGTGAGGCCACGAGCAACAGATACACACAAACTTTGCCTGATGTGTACAGACCAACCGGCAGCGCAAATGACTCGACATGTGACGACACAGCTTAAACACCCTACCATCAGTGGTGCGGGACGAGAATGCTGGCCGGTAGCCGTGTATGGACTCGTATACTTCAGGTCATACGCAAATTGTACACAACACATGTGAGAGTGGGGTGTATGAGAGAGAGAGAGAGAGTGTGTGTGTGTGTGTGGGCGTGAGTGTGCATGAGAGAGAGAAAGTGTGTGTGTGAACATGCTCATGTAACCAAATGGATAGACTTTCCTGTGGCAAGGTTACGTGTACGCGCTCATATGCATGTGTGTGTATGTTCATGAGTGCCATGTGCACTCACTTGGGGCATGGCGGAAGTCATCTGGGTTGATAGTGCTGTATCCCCGGACCCCGAAGCTGTTCAGAGTCCTGGATGAGATGAACAGGGCCCATGACATGAATGCAACTGCAAGTGAGAACATGAAATTCACTGTGCACACACACATGCACACACACACACACACACACGACCAGACCACCACCACCACCACCACCACCACGACCCACGCCGCTTGCTCTCGCACCGTTCGTGTCCTGGCTGCGCCACAAACGCCATGGCGGTGCCGATTGTTAATGGAAAACAAAGCAAATCTTCCCAACTTCCATCCCCAACAAACTGCTCGCTCGCTTGACACAACCGCTGTTGTTGTGTCTGTGCCGTTGTTGTTGTTGCTGTTGTTGTGATTGATGGCGACGACAATTGAAGACGCGCTCCAACAATGGAGCAAGGTGCGCGTGAGGGAGGGGAGGGGGTTGTGCTCTGTGTCTGTGTGTGAGTGTGAGTGAGTGTGTGTATGTCTGTGTCTGTGTCTGTGTGTGTTTGTGTTGGCGTGTTCGTTTTCCTGCTTGCCCTGCTTGCTTGCCCTGCTTGCTTGCTTGCCCTGCTTTGGTGAGGGACCCATGGCGATTGTGTGGTTGCTTGGCTGTTGATAGGTGGAGCTGGAGAACCTCAAGAAAGACCTCGACGATGACGCCCTAGCCATGGAGCAGCGACGCAAGGTCTCTTGTGCACGCGCTCATGTTTGTGCGTGTGCTTGTGGTTGAGGGCCACTGTTTTTCATCGTTGCCCAAGGAAAAGCGATCTTGCAAGCCAAGCTTGCCCATTGCCTCCCCGAAGCAAGAGCTGACAATGTGTGCATTGTGCTGGTCACGCAGGAGCGAGACGAGTGCCGAAGTAGGCTGAAGAGCCAAACACAGGCGTTCCGCAAGACGCTGAACGAGGTGCGAAGCTTGCTCGGTGGCTGACTGGTGTCCTCTGTTCCATCGCATCTTTGTTGCTGCTGCCTCTGCTTCTCGTCATGCCATATGTAGCAATGAGAAACGCCTCCTCGCACGACACTGTCCCGTGTTATTCACGCATGCGCTTCATGATCCGGTGCTGTCTGTTTGTTTAACCAGGAAATGCGGACTGCGTTCAAACCACTCCTGAGTCTTTACCAAACAGAGGTGCTCGCGCGAACACGATGAATGCCACTTGCGACTTGTGCCATGCACGCATGTGTGTGAATGTGTCTGGCGGGGATGTGGTTCTGGTGGCTGTTCCTTTTCTGTCTTGTGCGCTTGTGTGGCTCTCTTCCGCGACTCTTGTTGTCATAAGCTCACGGGTGGCTGATTGTTCTTGGTGCTGGCTGCGTAGGTGCAAGGGCTGGTCAAGATGTGCAAGCAGTCGGAGAAATCCTTCCTGTCCATATACGAACGTCTCGTCGCGGTGCCTGGTGCGACCATTGCTGCGACCGCTGTTTCTGCTGTTGCTGTCGTGTGCGTGCGAGTGCTTGGAGTTCTTTCCGTTCCTCTCTGTCTCTCTCTCTCTGTATCTTCGATGCGTGCTATGCAAGGGGCGGTTGTATGTGGAACGCTTACATCGCACCACATGGGATTCCAATGGCCAGATCCAACGCCGTTCCTGACGCGCGTCAAGGCACTCAGCGACGAAGTGAAGCAGCTCAAGATGAAGAACACAGACCTTGAATTGCAGGTTGAGAACAAGGACAAGACCTTGCAGGACTACCGGTCTCGCCTCTCCGGATCAAAGGACCAGGGTACATGCAGGGGGGTGAATGTGTTTTGTGCGTGCATGTGCGCATATCTGTCTACTGGTGGTTGTCGATGTGTGTTGACATGCTTGTATATGGAGATATGAACTGTGTATGGTTGCGTATGTGCAGCGTGGGCGTGTGGACTTGTGCGTGTGTAATTGTGGGATAGACTGCCTTTGCGTGCGGAAGCACTGGCCTGCTCGTTGCTGCTCCACAGCTTCTAGCAGCACCACCGTCTCGCTGCATACCCATGCTGTGTCTTTTGCCACCCATCCGTGCATGCACCTCATACCACCACACGACCGCGACACACACCAACACACCTCATAACACCACACTACACGCCACGTACCACCACCACCACCACCACCACCACCACCGACAGATACGACCATCCAGCGGCTGCAGGAAGAACTGGCCGAACTGGAACGCGATGTGGACGCGCGTGTGGAGGTCAGTGAACCATTGTTGATGATGATGACAAAGCACTTCAATGGCTGCAGGCTCGATCACAACGCAATTTCGCATGAAAACATCCAGCATGCACAGCAGGGCCAACACAATAATGTACACACGTGCACAAAACTGTTGTTAAATGTACTTGCTTCTCATCCCACACGTATGATTGACCAAATGTAAACAACTGCGAACATGTGTACGCGTGTGCTTGCGTGTATGTGTGTGTGTACCTTTGCTTGTGTGTGTGTGTGTTTGCGTGTACGTGTGTGTGTGTGTATGTGTGTGTTTTTTTTTTATTTTGCGTGTGTGTGCACAGGTGAAGTTGAAGGAGCATGTGCGGCGCATGGAGCAGGACAACGCGGCCAAGCAGCAGCACTACGAGGCCGAGCGCGCAACACTGTTGCAGCGTGTTCTCGAGGCTGAAGCGACCGCACAGACCTCAGCCTCGAACGCGGTTGGTTTGATGACGATGACAATGATGATGATGATGATGATGATGATGACGATGATGATGATGATGATGATGATGATGATGATGATGATGATGATGATGATGATGATGATGATGATGATGATGATGATGATGATGATGATGATGATGATGATGATGATGATGATGATGATGATGGAGTTTGCCGTGTGTACGTCACAGCGTGTTTGCACGTACATGCATGTGTGCGTTTCAATCCGTCCACGGTTGGATAGTGTTGTTCGTTTGCGTAAGCCCAGCCCTCACCCTTGCATGCGTGCATGTGTGCATGTGAATGTGTGCGTGTGTAGAAAGAGAGCGTGACGCAGGCGCTGGATGCGCGCAATCAATATGAGGACGAAATTGATGCCCTGAACCGAGCTGCAGACATGGGTGAGTTCCAGCGTTGCTTGCGTGCTTGCGTGTTTTGCGTGTGTACTTCTGTATGGCTGGGTTGTCACGGCTGTTGGATGTATGTAAGTACATGTGTGTGCGTGTGCGTATGTGTACGTCAGGCAATGTCCTCACTGCTACCGATGTGCATGTGTGCATGCCACCAGCGCACAATCAGCTGGAAGCGGCAAACGCGCGCGTAGAGGAGCTCGAATCAGAGGTGTTTGTTTGTGTGTGTGTGTGTGTGTGCCTGTGTGCCTGTATGCCTGTGTGCCTGTGTCTGTGCGTGTGTGCAGATGGCAATGCTGCAATGACATGATGGATTGCGTGAGCTCATCTCTGCTGTTACCACCACCGCCACGCCCTTCGTCATTGTCATTGTCAGCTTGCGCACTGCCGCGAGCAGCTGCAAGATGCGCTGACGGCGGAGAGGGATGCGGCGGCAACGGCCGCAAACACATCCATGCATGACGCAATCAATGCCGATTTGGAAAGCGAGTTGCAGCTCAAGGACCGCGAGATTGCACGGCTTCTTTCAAACCACCACTCCCTCCAGACACAAATCACCTCTCTCACTGCCGTGCGTGGGCTTGTGTGTGCATGCGTGTGCGTGTGCGTGTGTGTGTGTGTAGTGTGTGTGTGTAGTGTATGCATATGAGCGTGCCGTGTTTGCGTCATGGATATACTGGGGTGTTCTTTTCGTGGTTGTGCACGCACACATCTGCTATCGTGTGCTCATGGCTTCGTGCACATATTACTGGTTGATGTGACATTGACTTCACGCCATGTTTTCCAACGCATGTTTGTTCCATTCCAGGACTACGAGGCACGCCTGTCCAATGCAGACTCGGAACTCACATCCGCACGACAAGAAGCAGCGGTAGGATGTGTTGTCCAGATTGTGTGTGCTCGTGTGCTCGTGTGTTTTGTGTGTGTGTGTGTGTGTGTGTGTGTGTGTGTGTGTGTGTGTGTGTGTGTGTGTGTGTGTGTGTGTGTGCGTGTGTGTGTGTGTGTGTCGTTTCACTCCAACTGTTGCACATATTGACGGTGCAAGAAATTCAGCTCACCGGCGCACTTCTGCTTTTGTGTCCTGTCTTGCTATTTTGATATCAACGTGCATTTTACGCATGCATATGCATGTGTGTGTGTGACGACAGCGGCTGCGGAGTGCACTTGATGGTGCGAAAGATTATGATGACATCAAGAATGAACTTGCCATCCTCCGAAGAATAGAGGTTGATATGTGTGTGTGTGCATCTGTGTGTGCAAGAGGTTGTGATGTAGCTGAAGCTTGCGTGCATTGTCTGCTTGTGTCTCGCTGCAGGACGTTCAATGACGTTCACGTGTCCTTACATTTGCTCTCATTGCGTCTTGTTCCATGTTGCGCGTGACCACAGTTTGGGGAAACGTCAGACGCGACCTCACAGCCGCTCGAGGTTGGTGCTCTCGCTCGTGCGTCTGTGTTCGTGCGTCTGTGTTCGTGCGTGTGTGTGTGTGTGCGCGCGTATACATCTATGTGTTGTCTAACGCTGGTGGCTGTGCAGCCTGCTTTGCGTCGCTCCTTGTTTCCGTCACCATCCTCACTCGTCATGGTGCGCCTGCGTTCCTTCACTGCACACACATGCACGCGTATTTTGCTGCAGGTTCTGCTGAAGCGGAAGAACGCGCAGCTTGAGTCGGAGAACACACGTCTTCGCAATGAGTACGACTCGCTCAAGACGGCATTCGACGCCTTCAAGGTGGGTCATGCTTCGTCTCGTGTGTTGCGAACAGGGGATGTGCACACACACACACACATGCACATGCACATGCACATGCACATGCACACGTATATGCACACACGCACGCGCGGCTCGATGGCTCACTGTGGGTCTGCTCTGCGGCTGTACATGCGTTTAGGAGGAGCACGTTGAGGTGTCTGCGACAATTAAGGAGCAAGGCGAGCTGATTTCACGGCTGGAGGACCACCTTGCAACCGTTGATCCAAACACCAGCGCCACCAACAGCCACAGCAACCGCACAAGCCAGCAGCACACCCCATCCCTCGCCAGCCGTCATGTCGGTGATGGCGGAGATGGGATGAGCGAAATTGAGCTGTCATCACCATCATCTGCGTCGTCGTCGTCGCTTCGTCCTGTTCGCACGCCAGCGGCACTCGTCACACCGACAGACGTCAACAACGCAAACGCAGGTGGGGGGGGAGGAGGCACCAGAAACAGCTCATTGTATATATGTGTGTGTGTGTAAGTGTGGTGTGGTGTGGTGTGGTGTGGTGTGGTGTGGTGTGGTGTGGTGTGGTGTGGTGTGTATACGTGTGTGCGTATGTATCTGCCACTCGCTCTGTCTGTCTGTCTGTCTGTCTGTCTGTCTGTCTGTCTATCTGCTAATATCACACACCACATACGCGCATATGCACAACACCCCCTTACATGTCCCGCCAGGCAACTCTGGGGTGCTGCTCGGCATTGTGACGAGCCAGCGCGACCGTTTCCGGCAGCGGATTGTGGAGCTTGAGAGCGAGGTGGGGCGGGAGCGGCAACAGCGCCAGAGCATGCAGAACCAAGTCGACCAAATCAGGTGTGTGTGTGTGTGCATGTGTGTGCATGTGTGTGTGTGTGTGTGTATGTGTGTGAATGTGTGCGTGCGTTCGACCTTTGTGGTCTTGCTTCCCGCCCCCACCCAGTTGTTCGCACCGCTGTGTTCTGGTGTGGTCTGGAACAGCTTCGACGCTACCATGCGTCAGGACAACACACCCACCCACTCGTACGCTTCCACCCAAACACATACCCACTCACGGTTCCGTGCTGCTGTTACGCCTGCGCAGGGCGGACAACATAAAGCTGTATGAGAAGATTCGATATCTGCAGTCGTACAACAACAACACCGGGACTGGCTCGTCATCGTCATCCTCCCGCCACACCTCGACTACCCGCGGCAATGACCCTCTCCTCAACAAGTGCGTCCAACACCCACCCCTGCCCACTTGTGCCCTTGCCTGCTGCTTCCGTATGGATTTGTGTCTGTGTTTGTGTGTGTTGGGTAATAGATGCGTGCGCTCATGTTGATGCGCGCGCGTGTGTGTCTGCGCGCTTATGGGCTTGTCCATCTGCTGTTCGACATTTTCATGGACATGGCGGTTTTGATTTTCCCACTCCACTCCCCAGATATGCGTCAGAGTACGAAGACAAAATCAGTCCTTTCCATGAGTTTTCATCAAAGGTGTGCCAGTGCGCGCGTGTGCCAGTGCGCGCGTGTGCGTGTGGTGTTGTTGTTGGTCTTGAGAAAGTGTTTCTCTTCTCTTCTCCTTCCTCCTCACTCACACATACACACATACACATGTCCATGCAAACCGCACACATTGCAGGAGCGGCAGCGAAGGATTATGAATCTCAACGCCGGCGATCGCTTGACTTTGACACTGGTGCGGTGGTACATTCGTGCACAGTTGTGTGTGTGTGCTGTTTATGTGGATGTGCACATGCGCGCATATATGCATGTGCGTGTGCGTGTGCGTGTGCGTGTGTGCGTGCGTGTGCGTGTGCGTGTGCGTGTGTGCGTGTCAGGTAAGCCCACACTTTTGCTCATTTCAGCACCATGTTGTTAGACAGCAATCCGCACTGACGAACACTGGCTGACACACTCCCTTGTTCCTTGCTGCGTCTGATTGCTTTGATGTGTGCAGGGCAAGGCTGTGATGGGGAGTAAAAACGCCCGCCTCATATTCCTCGGCTACGCCATCATTGTGCATCTCCTCATCTTTGTGGTTCGTGTCTCTCTGGTCAAGCAGGCTTGTCGTTCCTCGCTTCATCACCATGTGCTGCCTGCTTGTGTTTGCGACCAGCACTACACATACACATACTCACGCGCACACGCACGTACGCACGCACACGCGCACGCACGCACACACACGCACACGCACACGCACGTACGCACGCACACGCGCACGCACGCACACACACGCACACACGTACGCACGTACACACACACACACGCACGCGCACGCACGCGCACGCACACACACACACACAATCACGAACGTATGCGATGGTCCGTTTTGGCGTGCGTTCAGGTGCTGTACAAGTACTCGCACGCGGGCGTCACGCGACAAAACCTTGCCGAGACATGCCACCAGTTCTTTGCCGCGCACCACTTGAGCCAGGAGACGGCTGTTGACCATGCCCACGGCATCCACTTTGACAGCGAGCAGCTCCACGATTCTGGCGGTGGCGGTGTTGATTGATGTGAACGCGAAACTCAGACCACACACTACAACAAGCTGCGCAAGTATGTGTGTGTCGTGGATGTGCATGAATGTGGCCTGTCATCATGTGTGTGTGTGTGTCTTCAGGTACCGTCTGACACCCTCTATTCCTAATCAAAACAATGGCGCTTTGACCATCTCTCGCTTCAATGCTGATTGCCGTGTTCTTCATTGGCTGTTTGTTACATGACATGACAAGGACATGACGACACCACCCCGCCCTCAACCTCCTCTGCCTTGTTGCAGCTGCAAAGAGCAAGAGCGACCGATGTGTCGATTATTGGTTGGTATGTTACAATAAATTTCCCAATTCCAGTCCACAACCGCGGTCAACCGCACACAAGCACAAACAACCAGCCGGGGCGTCATGGGTGACGAGGCGATCTGTGTGCCTTATCCTGGCGCATACACGCTCGGGTTCATGCTGTCCCTGAAGGACAAGCCGCAGTGCAAAGTCGCGCCAGAGAACATCGCCTCCCTGCAACGCATCTTCAAATGTAAAGCTCAGCGCTGTGTCGTGTCTGCAACACAGCGCAAGCGAGCGATGGAGCGGGATTTGTGATGGACATGCATGAGGCCCGTTTGTCGAGCCTTTCTGTTCGGGCGTGTGCCTGAACGGATTGTTTGTATTTCGAGTGTGTGTGTGTGGGTGTGTGGGCTGCGTGATGTGAACTTGAATTGGATCGTTGACACTGCTGTCTCGTGCCCTTCACTGCTTGCAGCCGCGTCGAGGCCAACACCTTCGTCAGCCAGCCATTTCCGCCCCGCACCGTACGGTTCCTCATGCTGTGGGGAACACAGTGGCTGTCTGTTGCAGATATTGTGTGTGGTTTTGTGTGCTTTGCTGAGGGCTACCAGCTCACATTTGGTTTGGGCTTGCCTCTTTACACTCGTTGTCATACAGTGACTCTTGGAAGTCCAAGCACTCTGGTTTTCCCGCCCCATGTAAGCAAAGCAGCGGGGAGGAGTCCTGCCGCCTGCCCATGCCTGTGTGTGTGTGTGTCTGCATCTGTGCTCGTGCTTATGTGTGTCTGTATCTATATTTGTGCGTGTGTGTGTGTCTGTATCTGTGTCTGCGCCTGTGCGTCTTCCTGTCTGTCTGTCTGTCTGTCTGTCTGTCTGTCTGTCTGTCTGTCTGCCTGCCTGCCTGTGTCTGTCTGGTTGTGTGTCTGCACATGAAGACTGGTTTGCGGATTTGCGAGTCGGTCCTCGGCGGCTGCTCCTCATCATGTGTGCGTTGGCTCCGGTTGTGAACAGCGTCCCGCCACGCCCCTTCATCGTACTCTCGCTTTCGCGATACCTTCCCCGAGCTCGAGGAAGAGGAGGATATTGAGTGGGACAATGACGATGACGCCCTGGACTGGGATGCAGATGACGGTACGACTGTGTGCTCGTCTGTGTGTGTGTGTATGTGCGTCTGTATCTGCTCGTCTGCACGCGCGCGTGTGTATGTGTGTGTGTGTGTGTGTGTGTGTGTGTGTGTGTAGTGCTAGGTGGAGATTGCAGTGGTCCAATCACTGCGAGCGCTGCGGGTGAGACGTGCAGTGTCACCACACGATCTCGCTCATGCCTTGCCTCTATTTATTTTGTTTGTGGGTATAGAGCCGTTTGTCATTGCTACCGGCGATGTTCTCCATGCAAAAGCCAAGGTGCGTGCATACGTGCCTGTACCTGTACCTGTGAAGGTAGTTGTGGATGTGCCTGTGTGGCTGTATTTGTGGCTGTGTCTTCCAGCCGCGTTGCTGAACTGACTGTTGGCACCTGTCTTCGACAATGTCACCATCACTGTGTGCTGTGCACTGCTTCTTTCACATTCCCTTTACAGCCGCCGCCACCACCTCCTGGCCTGGTATGTTGCCTGCCTTTGTACTCAGCACGCATGCGTGTGTGCGCCTGTGTGCGTGATGATGTGTTTGCTGTGCCTGCGATGTCTTCAGCTGCTCATTTCCTGCTGTGTGCATGTGTGTTTGTGTGTGCAGGAATCGCCCGAGCCGCTGGACGACGCTGCTGTCATTGGCGCACCGCCAGGTATACGCAGCCTGTTCCCTTAGATGTGTGTGTGTATGTATGTGTGTGTATGCATGTGTCTGTGTGTGTGGTTGTTTTGTTTGTGTGTGTCTGAGAGAGAGCGTCTGTCAGTCTGTGTACATGCGCGGTTTGGTTGTTGCACGTCCATGGCTGTCATGCAGTTCCTTCTCTTGATGGAGCACCCTGCTCATGCTGTGTCCTCTCCCACGCCTCTCCTCGCGCTATTGCTGCCAGGCCTGGAGGACGACCCTGCTATCATGATGGCGCAACAAACGCCGCCGCAGCCACCCGTGCAGCAGCCGCCCACAGGCAATGCCCTCCTCTCCATGCTCAAGCAACAGGCCACCACAGCACCGCAAGCACCACAGGCAGCAGCACAACAGCAGCAACAGCAGCTGCCGCCACCACCAGCCCTGCACCCGCCCGTTCCAGCCCTGGATAACGCCATTGCCCCAGAACCGGGTGAGCTGGCAGGTGTTGTCTATGCTCCGTGTGTGTGCGTGCGTGTGTGTGCGTGTGTGTGTGCGTGTGTGTGTGTGTGTGTGTGTGTGTGTGTGTGTGTGTGTGTGTGTGTGTGTGTGTGTGTGTGCACAACACTTGAGCTGTTTTGCGTGCGCCTCATTTCTCCCTTGCTGGTGGCAGAGCGCATTCCCAACGTCAGGTGCACCCTTCCCTTTGTTCCCACATCGGCTCTTCTGTGCGTATCACATGCCAACGTGTCTGCATGTGTGAATGTGCGTCTGTCTGTGTACCTGTTTGTCTGTTTGTCCGTTTGTGTGGTGTGGTGTGGCCGCGGATATCTTGCTTTAATGGTGTCTTGCTTGATCTCACCTTCACCTTCATTTTTGTTCCGCAACGCCAACACAAAACACAAAACACAAAACACAAAGCGCCATGTCGCCTAGCGCGCACGAGCAAGTCCTCGCCTCGCACGCGTTCCCGGCACACGACTCTGTTGATCGCTTCTTCGCTTCATCCACAGACAACCGTACGCCAACCTGCAGCTGTTTGTGGCTGTTGCTTGGTTCTTCTCACGTTGGGCGACGTTTCTGCGAGCCATGTGTGCGGTGCAATCACATTCCTGATTGGCTGTGCACCTGCTCCCCCATGACCACCACAACTCCTCACCACAACTCATCATCACCCACCCGTCAGGGTTCGTTGGTCTGACGCGCGACGATGCAACGGCGCCCGGGGAATTCTTTGACGCCAAATTCCTCCGGGACTTGCAGGAGGTAGGAATGTGTAGGTGTGTGTAGGTGTGTGTGTGTGTGTGATGCTGAATACCTGTGTTGTTTGGTGGCTGGGGTTGCTTGGGACTGGATGCCGCACACGTTCACCTCCCACCGGTGCGTGTGCATGACAGGAGGCGCTGTTGAGGGCACAGCGGGGCCAGCCCATGCCGCAGGGCCCGCCAAGCCTCGACCCAGCCCACCAGCAGCAACAGCAACAACAGCATCAGCAACAACAACACCACCAGCAGCAGCAGCACAAGCCGATGATGGGTCATGTGTCTGCACCTCACCAGCACCCGCAACAGGGCGCGAACCACAACCACAACCGCAACCAGCACACACTGCAGCAGCACCAACAACAGCAGCATTACCACCATCAACAACAACATCATCAACATCATCAACATCAACAACAACAACAGCAGCAGCAGCAGCAGCAACACCAGTCGCGCATGCACGGTGGCGGTGTTCCTCCCCATATGATGGGTGCCCCTCCACACTTCTACATGCGTGGGCAGCATCCCATGCTGCATCCGCACGCGCAACAACAACAACAGCAGCAGCAGCAGCAGCAACAACAACAGCAGCGCATGCACATGCACGGACAGTAGCATGGCAGGCTTGCTTCCCCTGGCAACAGCAGCAGGGGCTGTGGCTGCTCTCACATGCGCATGCCTCTGTGACCCTTTGCGGGAGGCGGGGAGACAGTGTGCGTGCGTGTGTGTGTGTGTTTATGTGTGAATGTGAATGCGTGTATTGTGTGTGAATGTGAATGTGTGCATTGTGAATGTGAATGTGCGTGTGTGAATGTGAATGTGCGTGTATTTGTATGAATGAACGTGGTTCTTGTTTCGCGTGAGTGCGGGAGTGTATGAATGTACGTGAATTTGTGTGCGTGTGTCTTTGCTTTGGCACCAGCAAGGGCACTTGGGAGACTGTGGAACTGAGAGTGCGCGCGTCTATTTGCGTGCATCCTGTGACTGTGATGCTAAGCGCAATGTTCTGTTCTGTTACACACAAACAAACACCAACTGCCGTCTGTCGATGTGCCTGTTCTTTTCCTTTCAATCCACACAAACACAAGAAGTAAACACAAAAGGTGCCAACCACACACACGCGAAGAGTGGCATGACATGGTGTTCTGTGAAGTGTGAGGCTTTGACGTGAGATGTGAAACAACAACAACAACAACACACACACACACACACACACACACACACACACACACACACACACACACACACACGTAGGTTGGTTCGTACCTAATAAAGTAGGTACGTAGTCATGGGTGCATCCGTATGTTATATCCGCCTGTTCCCTCTCCGGGACGATGTTCATTCCAGATCTATAAATCCCTTGACGATCTCCGAGAACATGAACAACACGCACTATCAGTATAGTTGAATTGTTATTCTAACACACAGCTCCGCAGAGGACCTACTAAATCAACGCGGTACACACCGGAAGCCCGGAGTCCACGCTTAGGATGCTTTCCTCAATCGCGAATGAAAGATGGCGCAAGAACAACAACAACAACAACACACACACACACACACACACACACACACACACACACACACACACACACACACAGTGGTTGGTCCTATAAATAGGTCGAAGTGCTTTTGCAAAGGACACACACGCCACAACGAGGACATCAGAACCGCCGTCGTGCGTTGACGTTGCCCAGTCAGCCAGCCAGCCAGTCACGGTTCAAACAATATCGTTCTCCTCTGTTCTTCGCATTCAGCATCAACACCATCAACACCACCATCAACGTCATCAACACCATCAACGCCATGGTTGTGCAGACGTGGGCGATTGACAATGGCTTCCAAGCCCGGGAACTGATTGAGCAGCTGGCACCAGCCAGTGCACCCGACGCCGCCACTGCAGCCACGACATTGCAAACCGCCAAGTTTGTGCGCGACGCGCTCACTGGCAGCTCCTTCAGACAGCACCTGTTTCAGAAGGAGGGCCTTGTCCAACACATTGTTGGCCTGCATGAGCAGCTGGGTGCAGACGCATCGCCCGAGCTGCTCGGGTGCTATGTGTCCATCCTCACCACGTTGTTTCCCTCGCTGCAGCCTGAGGTGCAGGACCAGGCAGCGCAGCCTCTGCTGGAAATGGCGTTTCGGCTGCACAACATCAGCGACGGCAGCCACGCGCTCGCCTGCATCGTACTCAAGTGCTTCACCACGCTGTTGCGGGATAGTGACACGGACATTCCGCCAGAGGCTTGGCAAGTGGAGCGCCTGATGCCCTTCCTCGAGACCCACCTCATGACGGGCCCGGGCTCTCGCACCGTGATTGCTGCCTGTGCCGTTGTTGTTGAGCTGGCAAAGAAGCCCTGGGCCCGGGAAAACCCGATGCTACTGTCACCGCTGCTGCGTGCGCTGACCACCGCCCTTGCGGCTCCGCACATGGACCCCGTGCACCTGCTGGACGCGGCCAGGGCGCTGCTGACGATTGATTCCGCAGCCAACATCTTTGCGCAAACCATGGTTCTTCCCTCCCTTGTTTCTTCCGTCCAACAGTTTGTACACAGCACACACCCGCACGTCCGAATGGCCGCCATCGCTTGGTACGTGTACGCGCGCCGGACTCGGCCTGTGTGTGTGTGTGTGTGTGTGTGTGTGTGTGTGTGTGTGTGTGTGTGTGTGTGTGCCTGTTGTCTTTGCGAACGTGCATGGGTGTGTATTTGTTCGAGTGTGGATACGTGTGTGTGTTTGTGTATGTGTGGGCATGTGTATGTGTGTATGTGTGTGTGTGTGTTGAATATGCTCTTGGTACTGCGCGTTCAAATCTGGCTGCACTCCAACGTGCTGTCTTCACGCTCATCGTTCACTGTGCATTCGCTTGCCGTGCAGCCTGTTGGCATACCCAGACGCCGTGGAGGAAGCATTCATCAAACAGGAGGTGAGATGCTGGCATTCAAACACATGCTGTTCAATTGCCAGGATCGTGACTTGTCGATCCCACATGGTTTCCTCACCTGACCCACACCCACACACGATAAACGCACACACACACACACGCAACAACAACAACAACAACAACAACACACACACACACACACGCAATAACACACACACACTATAGATTTTGCCGCGGCTGTGCAGTCTTGTGCGAAAGGAAGTGGCGGTGGCGACGCGCACGGCAGCAGCGTCGTTCCTCGGCGATCTGCTCAACAAGGAGGAGCATCAGGCGCTAGCGGCAGATATGAAGTACCTGGCCGCCGTTGCAGATGTCCTCAAGCCTGCAGATGAAGCCGACCTGCCCCCACAGCTCATCAAGGTAGAGCGCATCGCCCTCACGGGCATGTGTGTGTGCGTGTGTGCGTATGTGCATGTGTGTGGCTGTGTGTGGCTGAATGTCGACCTCTCTGCATGTCTGCCTGTCTTTTTTTTTCTGGCATATCTGTCTCTCCCTCTCTGTCATCGTTGATCCCAACCCCCTGCCACCTCCTCACCTTGACCCTTCCTTCTCCCTCCATTGGCACAACAGGGCAGCCTGATGATCCTCGCTGCCACGTGCGGGCTGTCGGAGGCCGCCTGCTCCAAGGCGCTCGACAAAGGCTATGCCACCTCCCTCACCACCTTCCTCACCTCCACAAACGCGGCTGTGCGACTTGCCGCCGCCACCGCCACCAAGTGCATCACCCGCTGCGTGCGGGCGGTCAAGTCTGAGCTGATGAACACATCGCTGCTGCCTACGGTGTGCAAGTTGCTCAGCGACCCCGACTGCCCGACCCGTCGCCAGGCTGTCGCCGCCTTCTCAAACCTCTGCGTCAGCTCAGCCATCTCCCCACTACAGGTGTGTGTGTGTGTGTGTTTGTTTGTTTGTTTGTTTTGTTTTGTTTTGTTTTGTTTTGTTTGTTTTGTTTGTTTGTGCGTGCGTGCGTGCGTGCGTGCGTGTGTGTGTGTGTGTGTGTTTGTGCGTGCGTGTTTCTCGCATGTGTTGCATGCGTGCTGCCATGCCTCTCACCTGGCGCCCTGGTCTCCTCTCCATCCTGCCACTGCCAATGCTGCGTGCAGACGGTGGAGGCCGCCACGTGGACGACGTTGAAGCATCTGCTGCATGAGGATGATGAGGACACTCGATATGCCGCCTTCCTCGCAGCACAGGTGCGTCCACAGCAACACCAATTGCTGCTCTGCTTCATGCGGTATTGTGTGTGCTAGTTCCCCGTGTGCGTGTAGTACATTATTGCGTTACGTTATTGTATGTTTTGGTGTAGTGCGCTGGTTGCTTGCGCTTTCACCACACTTGATTCATGTATCTGCCATCTCACGCATTTCTTTCCTTATCGCCTTCCTTCCTTCCTCCCACCCTCGAAATGTGTGTGTGTGTGTGTGTGTGTGTGTGTGTGTGTGTGTGTGTGTGTGTGTGTGTGTGTGTGTGTGTGTGTGTGTGTGTGTGTGTGTGTGTGTGTGTGTGCAACAGAACTTGTTCAAGACGGTTGAGAGCTCGAAGATGGATGTTGCGTGCCGTGTGCTGCAAGAGCTCGACATCAACCACCTCCTCCACTCGTACCATCACGACCCGAGCGTGAACGTGCGAACCGCAGCTGCAGGAATCTTCCGGAACCTCGCGTGCCACATCCGCCTCGTAAAGGTCAGCGCATGTGGGAGGGGGGGGGGTTGTCGTTGTTGTTGTTTTGTCCTTACGCTTTATGCTTAGGTCCGCAATTTGTTGCCTGCACACACATACATTTTCATACACGAACACGTACATACACGCACACATACATACGTACATACACGAACACATACACACTGCACATGTTTATGCGTTGGTGCTGACGATGTGTGCCCTTGATCTGCAATCCGACCCCGCGTGTGCAGGAGGTGAGCGATGTGGTGGAAGGACACGCGAACCTCGTCAAGGAGTTTGTTAATCCGCTCTTTGAATCTGTTGATCCAGCTATTGTCACAGAGGTGCGTCATTTCCGGTGCAGACACACAAACGTGTGCATGTATGGCATATGGTTCTTGTGTGGTAGATGCTTGCAACCATGGAAACATGTCATGAGTGACAGCTGCAATCATGCACTGAGACGCCAATGAACTGAAGAGTCACACACCCACCCCTTCCTTGCATCTCTCTTTCTCTCTTTCTCTCCGTCCCCCGTCTCCCCATCCACTCCCGACTTCAGGCGGTGTATACGCTGTGCAATCTCACGCGCACGGATGGGGCGTATGCAGCTGTTCTCTGCACGAAATACCCAGAAGCCATCGGGGAACTGATCCAGCGGCTGGTATGTATACTCACGTACACACGCACACACACTCACACACATATGTACACATATTTTTCACACATACACATATGTACACACATTTTCACACACGCACATGTACACACATATTTTGCTGTGTGTTTCTTGTTCATAGCAGGTCCTTGCACGCGCACGACCCTGCTCACCCTGCTCACCCATGTCCACCATCGCCCTCTCTCCTTCCCGTCATATCCCCCATTCCTTTTTCTCTTCGTCTCCCCACGCCAGCACCGCGCCGATTACGAGAACGCGCACCTTCTCCAACTCGCTGCTGCCCGCGCACTGGCCAACCTCGTCAACCACCACAAGCAGAGAGGTGAGTTCGTGTTGCGGGCTTGTTGTTGGTGTTGGTGTTACCCGTCTCGGTGTCTGTTGCAGTTGTGCGCGGGAAAATGGTGTGTCACGTGAGACATGCAATTGCGCCTCGACTCACTCTTGTATGTGCGCCCATGCTTGTTTCGTCCACACACACACACACACACACACACACACACACACACACACACACACACACACACACACACACACACACACACACACACACACACTTATCTTGCACCAAACCACTTGCCTCCCTCCCTCACACTACTGCTGTTGTAGGCACGCTTGCTGGTTTCGTTGGGCAATTTGATTTGCAAACTGCACTTGACGCATATTCGTTTGGAGAGCCGGAAGTGCATCGGCAAGTGGAACTCCTCAAGGCGCGGCTGGCCGAGCCGTAAACGGTGCATGTGTACACATACGAGTGAGCACCACGCACGTTTTTTGTTCCTCTACACGCGTGAGCAGGACACGAGTTACATGCCACACCACATTCTCGAGCACACTTTGACACGATGTGACACCTACGAGCAAAAGAGCAAAAGTCGGTTGTGCTGCGTCACCATCATCACCGCCCCCCCCCCTCCTCCTTCTCCTTGTTACCAACAGCCCCTTGTTCTTCCCTGACTGTGGCGGGGGCCTGAGAATGTGGTGTTGTAGTTGTGGTGGTTGTTGTTTCTGTTTGGGAGTTGTTGTGTCATTCATGTGTTTGTTGTCTCATGCTGTGGTTGTTTGTCTGACTTTCGTGAACAACGCCCCCCCCCCCCTTCTCCATCCCTGTGCGGACCCACAGCACCACCACCGTGTTTACGTTTCATGTGCACTTTCTCCCCTACAACGGACGCGCATGCCATGCACACAAATTATTTGATCTCTACATTCAACATGAGCGTGTGTTTTCGCTTACATCTGTAATTTTTTTTCGTTCGCGAAGTCTGGCCCTTGCTTGCATGCCAAGCACATTCAAGCACAACGTCACACGCCCCACCCCCTCCCTGGTCTCTGTCACAACTAGAATAGACAACAAGGCGGCCACCAAAAGTTGACATTGCACACACATGCACATGTGCAATGGATCAGTCCAAGACAATGACTTCGGAACGCGCTTCTGCGCACATCTTCACGAACGTCAGCATCGTCTGTTTGAACCGCGTCTTCCTCACACCTGCAGACAACACACACACACACACACACACACACACACACACACACACACACACACGTTTGGCGCACGTTGTGTTGTCTGTGAGGAGATTGTAGCGTGGCAGATACAAAGCAAACGATGGATACAGACAGACATGGCGTGGGTGCAAGCAATCGTATAAGCCAAGCATGTTGACAAGGTCGACAGCACTCACGGCTTCGTTGCAGCTGCTGCACCATCAGCTCCGCTTGCATTGCATCAATTGGCACCGACTCCTGCTCACCACACGCATGCATGTACATGTGTGTGTGTGTGTGTGTGTGTGTGTGTGTGTGTGTGTGTGTGTGTGTGTGTGTGTGTGTGTGTGTGTGTGTGTGTGTGTGTGGGCGTGTGTCAATAACTGTAAACATGGAGTGTTTGGTGGGGGCCGTGACAGCAACGTCGTGCACAGGCCGTTGTCGTTGACATGATGCGCATAGCCAACACCACTCAAAACTTGTCGCACCTCTGCCAAAGACTGGAGCATAAGCTGTCCAAACGCTTCCACGAAGTGCTGGTGAAGGGGACACGACACGACAAGGCACACAACATGTGAGACAAGGCACGGTTGAAGCGACACACATATGTGCATGCATACGTACACACGCAACCGTAAACACCATCCACAAACACCAACACATGCATCCGCAAACACGGGGACAAACATACACATGCGCAAACATTTCCACGACTAGCAAGTACACCGTTGCACACACCACATTGACGTCAGCGAGGACGTCGATGAAGACTGTCTGGTTCATCTTGGGACATCCGGAGGCAAGCAGCTGCACGCATGTCGATACAATGCGCGCAAGGCTTGTTGGCATCACCTCCTCCAAGATGGCGTTGTGGCCCGTCTGTCCGTGAAGCGACAGCAACAGAATAAAAGGTGAGCGAGTTGATGTGATAACTTACACGTGTTTCAGAATTAAGAATGCTTGCGAGCACGTGCACGCGGAGTGAAAGCAACGGTCATCACAAGCACGACAGCACGTGTGCACCTTCTCAAACATGACGCGCAGGGCATTGCCGGCTTCCCGCACAACAATCAGCTGCCGCAACGAAACACGAGCAAGCACACAAGAGGCAGTGAGTGAAGTGACGTTCACCATTGACACAGCACGCAGCCATGGGTGAGCGTGGCACGGTATGTCTGCACACGTGCGTGCGTGCGTGCGTGCGTGCGTGCGTGCGTGCGTGTGTGTGTGTGTAAATTTGTATGCAAATGTGTGTAAATGTGTATGCAAATGTGCGTGTGTGTGGTTTTGTGCTGTGGGAAGCTGGTGCACCTCGTTCACGGTGAGGGCGAGAATGAGACAATCAATAAGCTCCGAGACGGTAGTGGACGAGTAGAACATGCTGTTGGGGCAGCTGCGGCCAACCTGCATCCAATACAGCACATCATTCGTGAGTTGGATTGGAATCAATGTCAAAGAGACGTGGTGTGGTCGATGAAGTAAAATGGACGCCTGCGTGACGCATCTCCACACGTGTGAATCCCGCTCTGGTCATGAATGTGTATGTGCGTGTGTGTGCGTGTCCGTATCTCTCTGTTTGTTTGTGTCCTGTGTCTGCATCTGCATCTGTATCTGCGTGTTTGTAAATACGTGTGCGTGTGTCAACTGACTTTGAACACGAGCCTGAAGAATACGCTGATGGACTCTGGGTCCGCCTGAGAGTAGTTCTATCGTCGACACAAAGGGGCAGAAGCGAATAAACACATGAATATTCACGCACACACACACACACACACACACACACAACGGTGAGCGAATCCCTTGGAGCAAGGCCAAGAACAGCAGAGCCAGGATCCGGGGGGGGGGGTGCGACACATCACGCGCGCGCGTGTCCAATACCTGCATGCACGCTGCGGCGACAGTGAAGCACTGGTGCACGGCTTCCTGAAAGAGCTGCTGCTGGTCGTGGTGGTCGTGAAATAGCAGAATCACCTGTGCTCCACGATATCATCGAGCAGTGGACGTGAACGGACGTGAGTACATGCAGCACTGCATGCACGGGCACCATGCGCACACACACACACACACACACACACACACACACACACACACACACACACACACACACACACACACACACACACACAAATGAACGCATGTACTCACACGCACGCACACACAGACACACACACAGACACACAGACACAGACACACACACACACACACACGTGTGCACACGCAAGCACGCACATCCGTGAGGGCGCTGACATAACTCGGGATCCGGGTTGTTTCATACTCGCGAAGAAGGAAACTGCCAAGATACAAGGAACACGCGTGTCAAGCGTATGCAGGGTGAGTTGGGCCATGCTGACACAGCCAAACATTGGGTGCATGCGCGAAGAAACAGCGGTAATTCACAGGAGAACAGACAAGCGAGAGAGAACAGCTGCTTGCGTCACAGGAACGCACGGAACAACGGATGGAAGGAGCACGTCAAATGCGTGGTCCAGGGTCAGCACAGCGCTGGAAATGCACGTGCACACCTGAAGTTCAAGACAAAACAGGCGTGAGGTGCGAAAATGAACATGAATGCACTGACACATGTGAGGCGTTTAGCACGCTGGAGTGGAAGAGGTCACACCATGCTGCTGTTGGTGGTTGGTGCAGCAAGCCCTCTCCCAACTAAACTCACGCGCTGTGCTGTCTCCACGTCTGCCTGGAACACGGCGACGGCCTTTGTGAAGCGCTGCATTGCACCCTGTAGAACCACGCACAGCAGCATACAAGTGGATCAGCTCCACCCCATTGCAGCATGGCGTTGCAGTACACACACACACACACACACACACATATGCACACATATGCACACGCACACGCACACACATATGCACACCAGAGTGCAGATATCATACGCAACATCGACGACACCAAACATCATACACTGAACATAGCATGATCAATGCGCCAATACAGCACACGACAGCGCGTGCACACCTCCATGAGTGGCAGTGCCGGGTGGGGCAGTTCCCCGAGATTCTCTGGGCTGAGGCCGCGGACGATGCGGTTGATAATCAAGAGGTGTTCGCCCAACAGCACGCGCGCTTGCTCCGTCCCGGCAGCCAGGCACCTTGGTGGTGGGACAGGGGGGCACACACACACATGCGCATCGTGTGTGAGAGAGAGAAGCAGACCACGCAGAACAAATCAACGAGTGCACGTGATACACAGCAAAAGCGATGCACGCAGAGGGACAGTTTATGCAACGCACTGGTCCATGACGAGGAACGATGGCTCGTAGATCTGTGGCGTGACAACAGCGACTGTCTCCACAGGCGCTTTTCGTAGCGCAAAGCACACCGACTCCGCTAGTGCCCGCTTCGCCTGACAACAATGGCAATCATATGCAAGTTTGAGACACAAGCATGTATACGTGTGCATGTGTGCATGTGTGAGTGCGAACCTGTAAGAGCGCACACGCACGTGTGTATAAAGCCCGTGGATCAGCGACGAGAAGCGTGTTTGTGTGCACATGTTTTTTTTCTGATTTGTTTGCTTGTATGCACACACACCTCCGCTGGGGCGTCGCCATCAATGACTGGAAGCGCGACACCGAGCACTTGGTCCAGATAATCCGCCAGATGCCTAATTGGAAGGACATGTGCACACACACACACACACACACACGCACGCATGCATGCACGCACGTATGCACGTTGAAGACGATGAAAGACGGCAGACAGTCTGATCACGCAAGCTTTCACGCAGCCGTACATGCACGCACGCACGTGAAAAAAACGACAGGCTGTCAACGAGGAAGTGGTGACACGTGTGTGTTTGTGTGTGTGTGTGTGTGAGCTGCGTCACTTACACATCGCAGCCTCTTGCGATTGCCTTGATGCTACTGGCAGCGAGCGGAAGCAGTTGTGCTTCTCCCATCCTCTGCCACAGGCACAAGCCAAGAAATGACCCACACACAATATCAGCACGTTCACAATAAGCCAGCAAGCAAGCAATGTCTATCACAGGAGCAACACACATGCACACATGCACACACACACACGCACAGACGCACGAGGTCGATGCGGCCTCACGTTTCGGATGATTTCGAAGACGTCTGGAAGGCGAGATGCGTTACAGGCAAGCCAGTCTGCGCAGTTGCCCAGGGCAAGCATGCACGTCTTGTCCAGCTCATAGTAGCCTGGCTGGAAGGAGGCGAGCGTGTTGATGAAGCTGTTCGGCGCCTGCACGTGACCTTCCATCATCTCCGCCGCGCACCCAAAGAAGAACACCGTGCTCTCCGCACGCTGCACGCATCGAGGTGTGGCGGTGGAGGTGGCGGTGATGAGTGCAAAGCACGCATGCAAACAGGGGGCAGCAACACAAACGTTAGTGAAGGTGGGTGAGGTCTACCAGGACACACACACACACACACACACACACACACACACACACACACACACACACACACACACGCACGCACGCACGCACGCACGCACGCACGCACGCACGCACGCACGCACGCACGCACGCACACACACAAGTACTGAGATGGACACCAAAACAACGCCGGCAAGGGACAACAACAGGAAGCACTTGGGCGCAGCACCTCCAAAGATTCGTCTGCGATTGCCGCCTCCAGAAGCTGATGCTGATACAGCAGGCAGTCGTTCTGCACAGCAGCAACAGCACAGGCACAGCCGTGTCAAATGTGGCGGCAGAAAGGTTGGGGGGCGGGTGAGGATGGGCAGTACATAACAGGAGCAACAGCAGTTGGAGTAACAGCAGGGGCAGGAACACGTCGATCGTCTGCACATGTGCGCGTGTACCTTGAGCATTGTGCAGAGATAGGAGATGACATCGCCCATGTCAGCCCGGTACGCGCGCAAATCCGTCACTTCATCCTGTCATCAGCGCAATTGAGTGTGTGTGTGTGTGTATGTGTGTGTGTGTGTGTGTGTGTGTGTGTGTGTGTGTGTGTGTGTGTGTGTGTGTGTGTGTGTGTGTGTGTGTGTGTGGTTGGAGAGGGTGCAGGTGACCACGTGGGAGCAGAGCCAAAGCATCCTAGCACCAACACCAAGGAGCGCACCTGAGCGAGTGGCGGTTCTGTTGCCGGCGGGTGGGATGCCTTGATGATGACTGCCTCCATGAAGCGAAGTAGCGTCGCCTCGTACTGCTGCACAAGCGCTTGGTGTTGCTGCCATCACACAGAGATTGAGAGCGGGGTAAGTATTGGAGGTAGGTGTGATGTAGCGGGTGGTGTTTGTCAGTGACTTGTGGGCGACGGAGTGTCAAGCTGTGTGAAGAAGCGAGGCCGCAAAGATTTTGATCGCAAGAGGAGATATGACACAACTGAGAGCAGCAGCGTCTGCACAGGGTGCATGCCAGACCTGGGGCTCGGTGTCCACAATGTAGTCGATGAAGTCGTTCCAGAAAGTGAAGGTCTCGTGGGAGGTTGTCTCGTCCCGTGGAACCTGCAGAGAGCAGATTGTGGTTCACAGGAGAGAGTTATGGTGGTTGAACGACGTGTGAGAACGACGCCTGTGCATTCACATGTGCGGGCAAACGTGCAGCAAGTATGCACACGTGTGTCGGAAGCATGTGAACATAGACACCAGCCTTGCACCGTGCGTGTGCATGCAGGCACGAGCGACAACGACACCTGGCCTGGTATGCTTGTGATGGCGAGCATGTACTCGACATACGCCTGCAGCACGGCCCTGTCGTTTGCAATGCGGAACATGTGACGCTGTCCAAACACTGTTGCAAGCCGCGTCAGCGCACTGCAGCACAAAGACGACATATGAACGCGCGGGTGAAGCAGTGAGTGCGTGAGTGAGAGAGTGTGTGTGAGTGTGCGTGAGAGAGTGTGTGTGTGAGTGCGCGTGAGAGAGAGTGAGAGAGAGAGCGCGCGCGTGTGTATGGCACTGTGCGCATATATGTGTATGTTAGTGTGTGTATGTGCATGTGTGTTTGTTCGTGTTGCGGAAGGCAGGGTCGTTCGTTGGCGAATTTGCTTCTGGAACTCACCGGACAACGTCTTCCTCGCCGTTCTGGGGTTGATTGGGGTGTTTCAATGTGTTTCAATGCGTGTGCACATGTGAGCATGAGGTGAATGGAGCCATTTGGGTGAATAAGCGAGTCAACCAGAAACACATGCTGCACACACACACACACACACACACACACCTCCTTCTTTTGGCACCACACACCTCGAGCGCCTGGGCAAAAGCGGACTGGCTGTTGCTGACGAGCGTGGCGATCTCAAGAACGATGGACGGCGACCTGACATCGACGAAGACACACACACACACACACACACACAACACACACACACACAACACACACAACACATACAGGTGTCAAACACACACACATGTCAAACACACGTGCCAGACACACACATCAAACACGCCCAGGTCAAATACACCCAGTGTGAGCATATCTGCATGAATACAGGCGTGCAACAAATGGTGTTCAGCTGCAGGTGCAGCGGAGAACAAGTGCGACATGAGCACAGCATGTGATTTGGCGTCGCACTTGTAAGCTGGGTCCAGATGCGTGACCTCCAAGATCAGTTCAACGGCGGCCGCCGTCAGCTGAGGATACTGGACACATGTGACAGCAACCACGGGCAAAGGGGAGAGGAATCAAGCGATGGTGAGTCACATCGATGACGTCGCACCAACGATGCATACCAGCACATACACACATAAACCGCCACTCGTACGAGTGCGCACACACACACACATCCATTCACACGGGCGTTTGCACACAACCTGCAAGTATTCGAATGCTTTTTGTGCAATCTTCAGCGAGAGATCCTGCCAGCCGACCAAGTAGCCGGCACACACACACACACACACACACACACACACACACACACACACACACACACACACACACACACCAGTGTATGGATTGATGAGAGTTTTCTTAGTTGCAGAGATGGCACGTCAAGAATCATTGTCGCAGAAACACACACACACACACACAAGAACTGCATGCGTGTACAAACCCAGTTTGGAAAGCAAAAGGTCCAGCTTGTTGCGCATTCGAGACCGGCAGCAGCGACTTCTTCGTTGTCGTATTGGTTGAGCGCAGTCCAGCACACCTCCATCACCTGATATGAGAATGCGGTTGTGCCGCGTGTACACGGGAGAAAATGGTAAGATGCGTGACTCTTCAGCAGCCTGCATTCTTGCTCACAACACAAAGCACTCACGTATCCCAATGAAAAGTGCGCATCACTCTGCACAGCATCAGGGATGGCACGCTGACAATGCACACATCACCACATCACCACATCACGTGCCTGCTGCTTTGCACGCTGCATCTCAACGTCGACGTAACGGCGGCGGGCCGTAGACAGGAATCGCGTCGTGTACTCCTCCCCGAGAATCTGCACGCACACACACACACACACACACACACACACACACACACGCACGCACGCACGCACACGCACATACACATTCACACACATTTTCACACACACGCACGCGCACACCATGGCCGAGGCACCATGACGAACACACATGTGCGTCAGCGGGTGCGGCAATGCAAGTGTACGTGCCTGTGTGAATGTTGCCCCCCCTCTCTCTCTGCATGCACAGTTTGTTGATGTACCATGCCCAAGATGTGTGACACTGCCCACCTTGAAGAGGATGAGGTACGCCAGGGTGCCTTGGCTTGGCCCAATCGTCTTTTCAAGCTCCATGAACCGCTCATAGATGGTGGTTTCAAACTGGGGCAAGTGCTCCGGGACGGCCTGGCATATCGTCAGGTAGCAGGGGTGGGACGAAGCACGTGCCACACAGCACAGCCACGTCGCAGCACAGAACATCACAATGAATGTTTGACGGTGTGAGTTTGATCGTACGAGGAACACTGAAGACGTACGGGAGTGAGAAAGAGATGGCACATTCTGACAGATGCATCCAAATGGCGCCCAATGCATGATACAGTTGCAAGAAAACCCCCAGCAGACGCACGCGAGTACACACGTCGCAACCACCACCATGTTCACCACACCTTGAGGATGAGGGAGCACAGCGTGTTGCAGCACCGAATGAACAGGGATCGCGATGCTGAGAAGAGGTTGGCGGCCAGGTCGATCAACTGCTCTGCCAGTGCTCGCTTGCTGCTTTCGTCCAAGCTCTTCCACGTTCGCTGGATCTTTGTTGCCAAGAGAATGGCAGCGTAGTATCTGGTCTCGAACGCCCGATCCTCCTGCAGCAGTGCCCACGTCGCCTCCCAGCTCGCCTCTGTAGCAGCCGTTGTTCGCAACCACTCCTGTGTGCATGCGTAATGTGTGGTATGTATGTGAGTGTGGTTGTGTGGTGTGTGTGCAGTTTGTATGTGTGTGTGTGCGGTGTGTGTACATGTGTGTGGTGTGTGTGTGCATGTGTGTGTGTGCATGAGTGAAGGATATCAAGTGAACAAACGGTGAGTCGAGCGCTCGATACCCTCGTGTGTGATATGGAATGGGCACTGTCAACTCAGCCCATAGCTCACCCACACACACACACACCCACACGCACACACACAAACATACACGTTCCCACCACTCGGACTATGCACCCCTGGCCATCGTCGTTCACAAAGGTAGGGGCAGAGGCGTGTATTACCTCGGCCGAGGCTTTCATGGCCGGGTCAGGGTTGTGGTACAGCTGGTACACAGCCTGCTCCACTGCCTGCACCTCCGCTTCCATCGTCGCTCGTCTTGCAAGAGAAACGACAGTGCAGAAAATTCACTCCGACACCTTCAAATCGTCGTACCTGTGTGTGTCTGCGTGCGTGTGTGTGTGTCTGCGTGCGTGTGTGTGTGTGTGTGTGTGTGTGTGTGTGTGTGTGTGTGTGTGTGTGTGTGTGTGCGTGCACGCGCTCCCGCTCCCCATCTTCCCCCCACCCCACCCCCTTCGTCTCCTGCTTCCTGTTTCGTCATTGAGGGAGCTTTTTGATCAAAACAACCAACTGGCCATGCATACTTCGCAGTACAACTGCAAGCGCGCACCACACAAACAACAATAACCAAACCAACAACAACAACCAACCAAACCAACAAACAAACAAACAACCCCCTCCTCCACTGACATATGAAGCTGTCGAAGCCAGAGATTTAGCCGTTGTGGTCCGCCCACCGTACATGCACGCTACAGGGCGTCCGCGTGCATGCTACATGGCGTTTGCATGACCCGCAGCAACTTTCTGCCTGAGCTGCTGCAGGTCTGCAAAGTGCTGCCGTCGTGCATCTGCCAGCTCCTGCTCTCTCCGCTTGAGTTCCTGCGCCTTTCGCTCCTCCCGTTGCTGCTGCCGCTGCCGCGCACTTGACGATGGCGATCTCCCGGCTGCCCCGCCATCAGAGCTGTTGGCACTGCGGTTGCTGTGCCGCTCCGCTGCCAGCGCAGCCAGATCCACACCACCACCACCATCATAGCCACCGTCACCATCACTGCTACGGCCACCGCGCATGCCACCACCACCAGCTCGCGCCTGTAGCTCTTTCAGGGGCACGAGATCGAGGTACTGCACGTCACCGCCGCCATTGCCAGCGCCCTGCACGTCTGCATCTGGGCTGTCTGCGTCAACAGCAAGGCCGCGGTCGCTGCGTAGTCTCGATTCTGCAACGGCCCTGTCCACAAACGCCTGTCGTCTCGCCTCCTCCAACGCCATCTCGTGCTCCTGTATCTCCCTCTGCTTGCGCGCTTCCCGCAGTCGCTTCAGGCGCTCTGCGTGGCTCTCGCCTGTTGTGTACACACAGGTCAGCGTGGGTCACCGAGGAAGTGTAAGGAAACAGTCGCAGTGGCAATCAAAGCAGGAATCGTGTGCACGCAACCAGAGCAGCGACAGCCAACACATAAACACATAAAGCACAGCTTACACACACACACACGCACATACGCACCTGCTGGGGGTGACGCCAAATCGCGTCTCTGCGGCTGCTGCTGCTGCTGCTGTTGCTGTTGCTCCTGGTGTGTTGCGTGTGCACTGCCCGCGTCCTGCGCGAGCACCGCCGGTGATGGTTTGTACGCGCGACCAAGATCAGCGTTGATGCGGCGAGCGTTGGCCATGGCCTGTCGCTGCCGCTCCACATACGCCTCGCGCGCAGCCGCGTGAGCATCATAGCCACCAGCCAGGGCACGCTTGGCTTGCTGCTGCTGTGACGCTGGCTGCTGGTGCTGGCGGTGTAAAAACGCCTTCTGCTGGCGCTCAGCCTGGTCAGGTACTGTGTGTGCGTGCGTGTGTGCGTGTGTGTGTGCGTGTGTTTGGGGGGGGGAGGATAGGTACGAGAGGGTTTGTGTGAATGTGTACATGGGTGTGAATGTGTGTGGGTTTGTGTGTCCGAGTGTACGTGTGTGTCGTGAGGAACAGGATGGGTGTAACTTGGAGCAATGACCCCAGCATTGCACGACAAAGGCGGCCATGTGGTGAAAGGCACGCGCCACAACTGCGACCACCATCACAGGACGTCAGCGTGCAACGCACGTGCGTAACGCGGGTGCCCGTTTCGTTGCTGGTTCTGTGAGCGCTGCATGCTCTGTCGGCGCTGTTCATCTTGTGTGATCTGCTGCAGCCGCCGCGCCCGCTCCATTGCCTCGCTGCGCCCTTGCTGCCGAAGCATCTCTGCACACACACACACACACACACACACACACACACACACACACACACACACACACACACACACACACACACACGCACACACACGCGCACGCACGCACGCACACACACACGCACACACGCACACACACACACGCACGCACACACACACACAGGAGACCAGAGTGAGAGGCGTTGCATCGATCATCTCCGCGTACAAGCAACTATGTGTGTGTGTGTGTTGACAAGCAGCAAACAACACACAGCGGTGCACACGTCGCAGCCGACAAACCTTGCTGTTGGTAATGCTGCTGTCTCGATGGCGGTCGTACCCCCGCCACACCCCCACGCGCACACCCGTACACCTGCTGCCGTCGACGTGGTGTTCCCTGTTGCTGCTGCTGTTGTTGTTGTTGTTGTTGCTGCTCTTGCTGATACTGCTGCTTTATCGATACGAACCGCCGCTGCTGTTGCGGTTGCTGTTGTTGTGGTGCCTGTGGTGCGCGGCCCAGCTGCTCCAGCACCTTACGCGCGTTGTCCTGGCCTGCTCTTCTCCTCTCCAAATACTCCTCCCGCGCTGCGCGTGCAAGTCGCTGCGTGCGGGTCAACGGAACGCCCTCGCCCTCATCGTCGGCACCATCGCCATTGTCCCCGCCATTCAGCTGCAGCGGCGCCTGGTTCTAGAGAGAGAGTGTGTGTGTATGTGTGTGTGAGAGAGAGTGCGAGAGTGTGTGTGTGTGAGTGAGTGTATGTGTGTGTGAGAGAGGTAGGGAGTCGTGACAACGCGAGCTGAGTCAAAACAACACATGAACAGCCACCATGCGTGGCACCTGTAACAGAACACGTGAGCAGCAACAACAGCAGCGACACCTATGCCTGCTCACCCCGCGCGCTGATGGGCGGTGGAACTCTGGCGTGTATCCACGTGTCGGCGGTCGCTGGCCGCCAAGCCACAACACAGTGTCACTGTTGCTATTACTATTGCTGTTCACATCACCCACACCACCACCACCCCTCTGCCCACCACCGCGGCTGGGTGCGCGCTGCTGTTTCGCCTTGAGCTGCGCTTTGAACTCACGGAAGTGACGTGCTCGGTCCTACCCGATGCAACATGGTGGTGATGTCAGTGGTATGGTGACATGTGTGGTGATGTGTGATGTGAGTATTGGTGTGCGTGTACATGTGCTTCCTAACATACGCGCGCGTGTGAGTGAGTGTGTGTGAGTGTGTGAGTGTGTGTGAGTGTGTGTCTGTGTGTGTGCGTGTGTGTGTATGCCTGCTTGTCTGGCATGGCACGCGTGACACACGACTCATGTGCGTGGTTCAATACATCACCACCATCACCGCCAACCTGTGCAATGGCGCGGTCGCGTGCGCTCTGCCTCCGCTTCTCCTGCTGTTTTTGCTGTTTTTGCTGCTGCGCTTGTGGTCGCTGTTGCTGCTGCTGCTGCCGTGCGTGTTGCTCCACCTTCCTGTGCACGTCCATGGACGTTGGCTTGGTGAAGGTTCGTTTGAGCGTCCCGCCAACGCCGGCCGCCTCATCCATCTCATTGATGCTCGTCACCGCAGCGCGCACGAGCGAGTTGTTCAGCACCTCCGCAATGTGCGGCCGCTTCTGAGGGTCTTTGGACAGGAGCTGGCTGACGAGCTGCTGCAGTGTTGGCGGGTCCTGAAACGCTGCGGGAAGCTTTGGCACAGGGGTTTGTACAATCTTGCGAACGAGGGCACGAAGATCACGTGCCTCAAACGGCACGCGCAGCGCAAGCATCTCGAAGAGAATAATGCCAAGCGCCCACACGTCTGAGCTGAAGGAGTATGGCTTGTCCTGGCAGATCTCTGGGGAGAGGTAGAACGGCGTGCCAATCTGCGTTGACGCCTTGTCTCGGGTGTTCTGCAGCACTTTTGCAATCCCAAAGTCGCCCAGCTGCAGCAGGAGGGGGGGTGTCATAGTTGGCGTGTATATGTGTGTGTGTGTGTGTGTGTGTGTGTGTGTGTGTGTGTGTGTGTGTGTGTGTGTGAAACACGCGAGCGTGAAAACACGTGAGTGAAACGGCGAGCCAGCAAACGAGTGCGGATCGACGATGCAAACACACTGAACATCAATCTCAAACATGATGTGCGCACCTTCACCAAGGGGACGCTGGACTTGCCGAGCTTCTTGTCCAGAAACACATTCTTGGACTTGATGTCTCTGTCATCGTCATCACACAGCGCAACGATGTCCAGGTGTTGGGTGTTGATTGAGGCGAGACTTTCCGTAAGGTAGGTGTGTGTGTGTGTGTGTGTGTGTGTGTGTGTGTGTGTGTGTGTGTGTGTGTTCTCGCACGTGTGCACACGTGTTGTGCCCCAACGCTCACCTGTGGAGGATCTTCTTGGAGTGCAAGTAGTTGAGGGCGAGGCAGCACTGGGCAAAGATACCCATGGCCTCGTCCAGCGTGAACCTCATCCTGCACATTACATGTGTCAGAGCATGAGGAACAGGAAAGAAGCGAGGGGCTTAGCGCAGGTGATGCGGCATTGACCCCAACATGCGCACGGCGAGCTGGGAAGTGGCTGCATTACCTGGCGCGCTTCTTCTTTTGAACGTAGACATCGAGGTCACCGCCGCTGGCATATGCCATGACAATCCACAGCTTTCCATGGGATACGCCGCTATCCACGTACTGGATGATGTTTCTGTGGGAGAGCCCCTTGAGCACGGCCGCTTCATGCTCCGCTTCTAGCTTCTCCTTGCTGGACAAGCCTTGCAGCGGCACCTCCTGTTGTCGCAACGAGCACGACGCAAGAGCAGCGGAGCCGTAAGTGTGGGCAGTTCATCAGTGCTGGCATGATTACGTAGCGTCCAATGACGGGTGTGTGTGTGTGTGTGTGTGTGTGTGTGTGTGTGTGTGTGTGTGTGTGTGTGTGTGTGTGTGTGTGTGTGTGTGTGTGTGTGTGTGTGTGTGTGTGTGTGTGTTGTGTGTGTGTGTGTGTGTGTGTGTGTTTGGCGCGCCAAACAAGGGCCAGCATGCACTTCGCTGGTACTGTCATATTGGCGCACCTTGCGCACGAAGAGGTCCGGGCCTTTCCTCACAAGGATGGCGGCACCAAACGCGCCTTTGCCAATCACCTTCACTCGCTGATACCCACGATCCATCCCGGCGATCTTTACATCAATCGATGGATGGATGGATGCACAGGATGCAGTAGTTGGAGAAGCAAGCACAGTTGCTTGCTTGCTTTGTGCTTTGTGTTGTCAAGAGTGTGCGAGAAAAACCCGTCTGTCTTGTTTGCCAGAAGATGGCTGACACACACAACAACAAGAAGGCTGCGGTGCACTTGTGGCTTGCTTGGCTGTTGCGGAACTGCGTCTGTGTGTGTGTGTGTGTGTGTGTGTGTGTTGTTCGTCTTTCTCTTTGTTTGTGTTGGGGTGACATGAAGTGAACAAATGGCGCATTCATTCAGCGACGTACAGCGCGCCGACTACCCACGGTGATGGTACGCGATACGGGCAGCAAGAACGCCGGTGGCGACCGCGGGGGCCGACATGCGACATCGTCGTCGTCCTCCTCCTCGCTGCAGCCGACTACGGGCACAGCCACCGGCACAAGCCACAACCGCATCAACGAGAAGATCATCGCACACCTGCGCGAGCTGTACACACAGCCACAGACGGGCCTGATTGACATTGGTAGGAAGGTTGGCAGGCAGCTGCTTCCGCCCCGAGAGAAGATCACCGTCCTACTCATCGGCAACCACTCGGCCGGCAAGAGCACCTTCATCAACTGGTGTGACCAAGAGGACGGGGCCAGTGCCTGCATGTTGTGTTGCTGAGCTCAGAACGAAGAGTTGGTTCTTGTTTGTGGAGATGGTATGTGTGTGTGTGTTTGTGTGTGTGTGTGTGAGTGTGTGAGTGTGTGCGTGTAAGTGTGTGTTTGTGTATGTGTGTGTGTTTGTGTATGTGTGTTTGTGTGTGTGTGTGTGTGTGCGTGTGCGTGTGAGTGAGTGTGTGTGCGTGAGAGTGTGTGAGTATGCGCTCGCCGCACATGGTGCTGTCTTATGCTTTCCCATCGTGTTCATGTAATCTCTTGCTCCCTTGCACAGGTACATTGAAGAGACGTTGCAGAAGACGGGCGTGGCAATGGAAACCAGTCAGATCACCCTTGTCACCTCTGGGCGTCGACGCGAACAGCTTGGGGTACATACCGCGTAGAACACCTTTGGGTCATGTGTATGTGTTTGGGTGTGCGGTTGAATATGTGAGTGTTTGTGTTTCTGGTAGTGTGTTCGTGTGCATGTGCGTGTGTATTTCTGTTTGCGCGTCTGCTTTGCTTGTGTAGTTGGTGTCTATGCCTGTTGTGGTTGCTGTTATGTGTTGTGCGTGCGTGTGGTGTGGCTGCTGTGGGTTCTCACAGTGCACTCGATGGCATTGCTGGTGTTGCTCTGTGATGGTAGGGCGAGGCCACGGTTGAAGCGTTCCCATTCATCAAGGACATTGTCGAAGAAGCTGGGTTGAAGAGCAGCATTGTCACAGAGGTGTCTGCGTCTCGCCAAAAGGCCTTTCCTTTGGTACGTGTACGTGTGTGTGTGCATGTTTGTCAGTGCTCATGTTCATGCGTGCACATCTGTATTGGGAGTGCATGTGGATGTCCCGTGTCTCCGTGTGATTTTACGCGTTTGTGTATGTGCAGAGGTTCTCTCTGCGTGTGGCATTTCGTTGAATGACTGCGTGTCCCACTTGGAGTTGAGCCACGTGCGTCGTCCCATCTTACCTTTTCGCTTGTCTCTGCTCTGCCGCAATGCCTGCCTTGCCGGTACAGATTACGTTTGTGGACACGCCTGGGCTGGTGGATGGAGAGATGCAGTATGCCTTTGACATCAAGAGGGCTCTTCTCAACCTGGGTAAGTAGGCAGGG